GTCTAGCCAACTAAAGAAGTGGAATCTCAGGGAAATAGCACAAACAGAGCGAAGGGCAGTTCCTTTGGTTGACATACAGATCCCCTTTCCTTATGATTACCTGGCATTCAGTGTGCCTCTGACAGATAAACATGATATCAAAAAGAAATCAGAGCAAAGAACTACAGTAGGATTATGTGTTTGCAAGATCATCTGGTCTTTAGGGTGCAGTCCTGCACAAAATATGGAAAAGCAAAACCATCCAGTGGCCCTTGGGACAGGAGAAATGATTGGGGTGACCTGTCCTTTCTGTGTTGAGAGCCATCTGAAGCAGGAGACATTAGGAACTTGAGCAGCTCGAATTCTGGTCGCCTAATCCTCAGCGCTTCCTGAGGTAGCAGACAAGTCTATTTGTCTCCCCTGAGCAGGGCGAGCTGTCAGCAGAATGCTAAGTAGCTATTTCAGTGGTGCTGATTGATTCGCGGAGACGGCACAGATGTGACCTCCTTGGTCAAAGTCAGTGTTTTCTTGGCCCTCAAAATTTCAGAAAAATACAAATGCAAATGACAAATAAAGACAAGGCCCACATATCGCCCCAGAGTCATTGCCTCAACAATCACTAATGCCTGCTAGGCCTCCAGCGTCCTGCTAGGTGCCAACAATGACGTAGAAGTCATTGCAGACATAACTGCTGGTCTCTACATCAGTACCGATACAGCAGCAAAAGTTATGTAGTTTTAAAGACCGCAGAGTTGAAAATTTCTTTTGCCACATGTATTCTGCTTTTTAAATAAAAACTAACAGGCAAACATAAGCATGCCTGGCACATAATCTTTTTATCTAGAATACCCTTTTCTTTATCAACCTGGAGAACCTCCACAAACAATACAAAGTCCAGCATGGCTGTCACCTCCATGACCTGAAGCCTCGGTGGCCATGCCCACACTTCCATCCTCACCGCTCTCCCTGTGCCCCCCTTACACCCCCATCCACAGCGTTGCAATGCAAGATGTTACTGTGAATATCTGACTGTGTGTCCGAATCCCCCATTCTGTTGGGTGAGGTTCTTCTACATTCTGGCTGTTCTCAGAAACATCTCTGGGTATGTTTAAAAAAATACAGAAGTTCAGGTTCAAATTAGATCCATTGGCTCAAGACTTGCAGGATAAAACCTGCACACTTTTATTTTATTTTACTCTCCACAGGTGAAGGTGCCTTACTGTCAGAGCATAGACCACTCATTGTGCCCGCTCCCTTTTTATGGCTCCAGTGCCAGGAACAGAGCTGAGCACACAGCAGGTGCTCAGATCACGCTTGTGGACTGAGTGAATTACTCACCTCCACTTATTTCTCTTTGTAGGTAAATATTTAAATTACACATGGCACCAACTACTGGGGTCAACTCAGACATGTCATAGGCTTATCTTGCAGTTCTCTGGGTTTCTACAGCCAGTTGCATTCTTTGGTTGGTCCCAATGCTTTTGCACTCAGGTAAAGGCAGTTATCTGAGGTAGAAATATTCTCTCTTGTATGGTGTTTTGAAATAGACAAGTTAGCATTTAAAGATACAGTAGAAAGGACTTATTGCCAAAAATGGGACAAGGAAATAAAGATTAGCTGTAAAAAGCCTTTCTGTATATTCATACACCTGCTCAGACTAGAGAAAAATCCCAAGAAGTTTTCTATTCTAAGGTTAATGACCAAATTTCTAACTGCCCAATGGACATTTACACATTTAGATAACATACTCAGAATGGGACTTACTGATCCTTCCTAAACACCTGCTTCTTGTTGGTGGCAAGGACTGCAGCTGAGATAGTGTGAGATGGTATTGTATGATCAAGGACTCAGAATGAGAGGATCTGGCCTTGTCACTTGCCCATCTTCCCTGTGGAGAAGAGAAGTTGCCATACAAAGAATAATAGCAGAATACAAATCAAAATATCACATTAGTACTATGTAGGTCTGGGTCCAATAACCCAGTGGAATATTTCATGGTTTAGAATGAACTGCTTGGACTAGAGACTGAAGCGAGCCATCCATTCCCTTTCTACTATTTAAATCTAAAGTTTGACAGCAGGACCTTCAATTCTCCCTGTGCAGAGAGGAAGTAAGAGGGAGAGATGGGAGATGGATGGTCAGATCTGCAGATAAGGCCTTGGTCTAGCCCACCACTCAGCTCTGTGCTCAGAGGAACTGGGAAAGAAAAGGAGAGAGCCATGCGTGGGCCTGAATCAAGGAGACACACTCCACCTAAGTTTACTTATCAAGGGAGCAAGAAAAAAAAAGATCAAGGGCAGGTGCCCCCTACCCCCCACTATAAAACCCAGTAACCCTCTCTAAGAGGAAAATAGAGCCCATAGATTGTCCTAGTTTCAGACAAACCATATTAATCCTTCTGCCCCCTTGATGGGGGACCTGGAATGAATGGAGCAGCCTTAGGTGACTTTTCGTCCCACTGGCCTCTTGTCAAAAGGCTGCCATCGACCATCCACAGCAAAGAATGACCTGGCCTAAAATATCAATAACGCTGAGGTTGAGAGACCCCAGATTGAAAAGAACATTTATTGAATGCTCACTTTTATCACACACAAAAACTGTTCTTTACATTTATTGTCTCATGGTATTCTAACAGAAACCCCTTGATGAAAAATATTGAACATAATCCCCATTTTTAGATGAGGAATTTGGAGCTCAGAGAACGTGAGGACCAGCTCGAGGTCACAGATCTGGGAGGAAGCAGAAAGGCACAACAACCACGGTTTCTAACTCCATCTCATGTGTACGTCCCCAACAGAGTTCCCTACTTCCACCGCATCTGCCCTTCGTATCCCCAGTGTTCCCTGCATAATGCAGGCTCTCTGTGGGCGAGGTCTCTTGGCAGGACAGCCCACAACCATTTCCATTAGTCCAGGTTTCCTCTCTCCTCAGCCAGACTCTGTGTAGGGAGGGTATAAATTTGGAGTCTCTTAGGATAGGCTGCATTAAGAAAACACTGTGAGTGCTTCACTTTTAAACTCAGGAATTTTTTCATCTCATTCTTTGGAAGAACATAGATTTGTCTTTCGCATGCCATTCTGAAATAGTGGCTCATTGTCAATGCAGATTATTTGGTCAAAAAGATTGTAATAACTATGTATAGGGCTAGGTGGGTACTTAAAATACTGGGGGACCCCCCTCTGTAAAGTACATGATGGTCTAACCACTACACGTCTGAAACCAATGCAGAGTCATATTGATTGTAAACTATAATGGGGGGGAAGAAACACCCAAAAAATAAGTGTTCAAAGATGAAGCATAGATGAAATTTTGGATAAAATAGATCTGGGTTTCAGCGACGTTCCCACTGGAACTTCCTTCTCTCGCCCATTTCATGTTTTGTGTTTTTTTTAATTCACTGCCTCACTTAGTGCCCCAGCCACAAGGTGCTCCTTCAGTTCCTCAGATGCACCAAGTCCGTTCCTCAGCGTCTCCAGTCATAACCTTGCACTTCAAGAACCAGCTTCCTCCTACCTTTCATTTACTTACCACTCACTTTTTTGTTCAGCTCTTAACTGAGAAGCTATTTCTTCACAGAAGCTCTCCATCAACTGTCCTGAATCTAAATCAGCTTCCCTTCTCTCGTCATCACACGTTGCTATTTGTATTACTTTCTTGGTGGTGTTCGGTGGTATTTATTACTATAAAGCCTGTCTCCCCAACAAAAGGGAAAGGACTCTATGAAGGCAAAGGCCCTATCAGCTTGGTTCACCAATGCTCAGTCAATAGCCTTCCTCAAAAAATATTTTTGAATGAATGAATAAATGACATGGTTAATTTGCTTAACCTGTGTGAACCTTATGTCCTTATCTGTACAATGACGGTATTAACTACAACTTCTCAAAATTATCATTAGAATGCAGTGAGGAGATAAATAGCCCAGTAATATACTTGGATAATAGTCAGTGCTCAGTAAATATTATTCAAGACCTGAGAGTTCTTATCTTAATTCTCTGATTAAATTATTTTCCATGTGACTTGGGATGAGTACTCTGCCTCTTTATGTCTCCTTATCTTATTTTATTAATAGGTCATGCCATTTGAAAACACCACAAAACAGTAATTACATAAATTTTAATTTATAAAGAATTTTAATATAGAGAAGTAAGATATAATTCAATAGTTTCAGACCTATGACAACATAACTTATAAGCAAGATGAAGAGAGGACATGCCTACCCCATTAGGTGAATAGTGGTGTTGATAGACAATGATTCAAAAGAACTGCCCCACTTTGGCTGGTGTTGCTCAGTTGGTTGGAGCCTTGCCCCGTAAACTGAAAGGTCGCAGGTTTGATTCCTGGTTAGAGCACATTCCTAGGTTGTGGGTTGGGTCCCCGGTGGGGGCGCATACCAATCAATGGTTCTCTCTCTCTCTCTCTTCCTCCCTTCCCCTCTCTCTAAAATCAATAAGCATGTCCTCAGGTGAGGATTGAAAAAAAAAGAAAGGCCCCAAATCATATTACTGCTTGACAGCTTGGTGGAAAATTCAAGTTCTTAAGAAGTATTAGGCCTCCAGGTTCTCTTTTACCTCTAACTGGGCTCTTCTTGCTTTTGTTTTTTGTGTTTTGGGACATTTTTGTGACTCTTTTCCTTGCTGCAGATTCCTGACTAGACTTCCCTGAGTTCATTTTCACCCACTCACCCTTGGGCTGTGCCACTGAAGGGCAATGGACTTTTTATTGCCTGCGGTGACAGACAGCTGTCATTTCAGCCCCCACCAGGAATGACCTGCATGCACATTCCTGAAATTGAACACAGCTACTGATGAGTTGATAATCCAATTGATTGGTGAATCTAAATTCATCTCATTCATGGTGGATGGAGCTAAATAAAGAAGTAAATAAAGAAGTATAAAATGTGTCTTGTATTGTGTCATCAATTTCTCAAACATCTTCCTTTGGTTCTTTATTTCTTATGTTCCAGAAACTGCAGAGCATCATTCAGTGACCTGTCACACTAGGATACTGATGGCGTGGCTGAACTAGTCCTGGGGATCTTCACAGAAAAGGCAGTCGGGGTCCTGGTCGGCTGGAGATTCCATCTGAATGGTGAGTGAATGCACAGGAAAGCGATTTCTGAGGGCTTTAGCGACCTCTCTCCGAACACCGTGGCTGTCCCAGCTGGCTGCTGTGGAAAAGGAACCCCAATGAGACTGGCATTGATTGCACACACATAGGTGACCACTAATCCTCCAGCTTCGTGGGGCGGGGCACAGGCCACGTGCTCAGAAGGAGGCAGGTTGGTCTGACAAGCATCCGCATCCACACAGACAAGGCAGGGAGGAAATTCTAGTGCAGCAAAGTACCCCATCACTACGGGAGCTCTTCCTCACAGTTTTCTCTGGGGCCTGGCCTTCCTATGAGCTGTCTATAGAAGGGGAAATGAGCCCTGGAAAAAGCCAAGATAGAACTGTTATTTCTTATACAACTTTGCTCACCAGTCCTCAGGGACCTCTGGGTTGCAGCCCTTGTATCTAATCAGAAGCCATATGAAGACTAGTGACAGGAGGCAGGAAGCATTTAGAGCTCCCCACAGACCTTTCTTAGAGCAGCAACCCTTACTCCATCTTTTCTCTTGTCCCCAAATGTGTCAGGAGGCTGTAAAGTTCCCTCCATAGTAACCTGATTACTGCATTCTTCCATTTGCAATAAAATATTGGTGTAACGGAGGCTGTAAATTCCCTGTAGCCAGATCTGAGCCTCTCAGAGAAAATGAGGATGTCTGAGAGAGCAAAGTCCTCAAATGACTGTCACCGATGTCCCTGTACCCTGCCACTAAGTAAGTCCTTGAGTTATTTTTTAGCAGCCTAATGTATCACACTTGACCTGAGCTGTCTCGTGAGGCAGTGAGGCTCCTCCCACTGCCCACTTTGTCAGTGCTGGGGCTCGTCATGGACAAAATCACCTTCTACTTGAGAAAGTAGTTTTTACAATAAACCCAACACCCTAAGTATTATCTCACATGGTTACAGAATTTCAAAACTTTCAGTAAAAAAAAATCATTAAGTTTTACTAGCATGTTTTTTAGATTGTTGGAACCTTAAGGATACAGCCTGTGTATTGTTCATCTTTCTATCTTCGGTGATAGGCAGAGTATCTCATGCACAGGAGATGCTCAATGGAGATTAACTGTTGAACTCATTCCTACTATTTAACTAACTGTTTGGGTGCCAAGTCAAACAGGTGAAGTCTAATTTTTCAGAGCCTACGGTCTTGATGTTTGGGTGGCATTTTACCCCTTTGTTCTACTCTCTACCCTCTTCAGTTGGCCTCAAGGGATGGCATCACTATCCCTGTTGCCTTGACGACATTGACAGGAGGGATGGTTTTCAAAGGCCCCCAGTAATACAAAACACTTCACAGCTGTTTTGACAGGCAGCAGGCACTAGGGGCAGCTCTACAAAGAGGAAGAAAATTACTGAGTTTTCAGAACAAGGGCTGAATTTTGTCCCGGGTGTTTACAAAACTCACTGACCTGCAGCAACATGTGCTGAGAGAATCACCTGGTTCATTGTGAGAGACCAGATGTGCAGGCTGTGCACAGACACCACCCCGTCCACTGCTAAGATGAGCTCTTTCACAGCATTGTAGCTCAGGTTCTTTGGCACCCCTGACAAAAGGAAAGAGTGGGAGGCTATTGAATGGGAGGTTGCTGTTGTTCAACTGAAAATAGCTCATTGACATGGCTAATTGGGTCTGCAGAGTCCTCACCCAGATACCAACATGTACCCTCCCATTTATGGTTTCTTATTTCAAATGTGTACAGATCAGATTCATCAACTGCAAAGGGTTTACAGTCCATCAAAAGCTCATGAGAAGTATTTGAAGATTTTATTGTGCAATAATCAACAACAGTGATCATCTTTCATTTGCAGGGTATATTATTAAACTGATTGTGCTTTTCCCAATGATCTTTGCTTACATCCTGGACGCAAAATGAAGTAACTTGGGATTTGGTATCAGATAATCCCAGGTTAGCACTCTGGCTACAACTATTTTGAATTTATCCAAATCTTAGAACTTCTCTAATTTTTAGCATCATTTATAATAAAATAAGGTTGATAAGAACAATATGTAGTTCACAGAGTTCTTCGAGGAGCCCATCAGAAAATAACTGCCCTTTGTAAACTGCTATGCTATACCAATGTTACTTATCCAACAGGTCACTTTAGTGAATTGTGTTAATAGGCGATCCTAACATTGTGATACCATTTTATTATTCAGCTTGTAAAATTTTAATAAACTTTCAAGCAAAACAGAAACAGACTCATAGAGGCAGAGAACAGACTGACAGCTGGGTGGGGGGAGTTGGGGAGCTGGGTGGAAAAGGTGAAGGGATTAAGCAAAAAAAAATTTCATAGATACAGAAAACAGTATGGTGATTGCTAGAGGGAAAGGGGGTGGAGGGAGATAGAAGAGGCTATAGGGGGATAAATGGTGATGGAAGGAGACTTGATTTGAGGTGGTGAACCCAATACAATATATAGATGGATTTTGAATTGTATGCCAGAAATCTATATAATTTTATTAACCAATGTCACTCTAATAAATTCAATAAAAAATTAAAATTAGAAAATATTAATTTAGATTCATTAGTTAGGGTTTAAAGTTCAGGTCACAGAATGTAATAGATTAACTGTCATCCTTGTTTCTAAAGGAACAGTGTGGAACGCACAGGAAGATGGGTGGTCTGACAGGCAGCCAGTGAGCTGTTCTTTGGGGCTGAAGGGACTGGGGTGTCTTGGACCTGGAGAAGGGCAGGCTAAGGAAGTAGGATCACTTTTTCTCAAACATTGCAAGGATTGCCATGCAGAAGACTAGAGGGTATGAAAAGTTTGAAGTTGCTTGCATTGGCTCACTACAGAAGGAGCCAATAGTTGGTTAGAATTATAAAAGATATCAGTTCGACCAGCACAACAATGTCAAAAGTCATTGGATGCAATAGTAAATCCTTGTCAACTGAAGATGATCCAAAGAGAATGCTACTGAAGAGATTTCTAACACTGACCACCTTTTAACCTCTACTTTAATCATATATATATCACACCAATACCTGGTGTGCTTGTTAAAAATAAATGTCTTTGCTGTGTTCCCATCATCCTAAAGAAAATTTCTGTGGATGAGGCTATGAAATCCACATACTTCCAGAGTGGCCCTCAACCTTGGATGCACAGTAGTATCACTGGAGATTTTAGAAATCCTGATGACTGGGTTACATGCAAGACCAACTAAATCAGACTCTCTGGAGATAAGACCCAGCATCCATATTTCCAATGTTCATTTGATGATTCCAACACAAAATCAATGTTGGGGACCATTGTATTAACATTTATAAGCCACCAGATAGTGTTTCTCAAGCTTGGCCACATGTTAGAAAACATCAAAGCCAGTCCGCACTCCAGTCAGTTATATCAGAATCTCTGGGTACAGCCCTAGGCATCAGTACTTTTAAAAAGCTTCCCAGATTGTCATGAACAGCTAGTTGAGAAGCATTTACTTAAAAAAAAAAAATAGGGCTTCCTTTCTTAGGAGTCAAGAACCTTGCTCATGGGGATTTTCTCCTTAGGGCTATTTTAATATTCCCTACAGTTTGAGTTCAGTTTAATCCTACTTCATATTGTTTCACAGAGGTAACAAAGAGCTGGTCCACATCTACTTTTACTGAATGAGCTGCACAAAGCACAGGATACCAGAAACAAATGAGTTTTTGTTTCAGATGAGCAATAGAATGTGTATGGACTTGTGGGTGAAGTTGTTATATTGTTGTAGTAAAAATAATGACATACCTTTATTGAGAACCTTTTGTGCTAAGCACTTTATTTATAGTGATTATTTTATTTTAACATTTACAAGAACTTTAAGTGCTAGTTATCAAAGTTACAATTGCTTTCTAACTGGAGGAAAGGAAATTGAGAGACAAAGAAGTTAAAAAGTATGGCTAAGGCTGCATGGATAAGTGAGGTGTCAGAGTTCATTCTCTGAGTGTGAAGTGTTATGCAAATGCTAGACTGTAGGTGTTGTAACCCAAAGTTGCCCATTATGCCTAGTGAGTCATCTCTGGGGAGTTCCCTTTGACTCTTGGAAGACCTGCTATCATCCCTCCAGGACCCTTGAGATGAGGTCACGATCCCATTACCCTTTGTCCCTCTTGCCTCCTTTATCTCTTTACATTTATGGAGAATCTAAGTCTACTATTACTTCTTTTACTCTATGAAATAATGCTGACAAGCACGAGGATGTGCCCCCACTGACCTCAGTGCTCCATCACATTCTAGAAGCCTTTTCTTCCCTGAGGGAGAGCCTGAGAAAATATTAATGCATCCAGGAAAATGCCCAAATTAGTGTGTAAAAAATAATTTCCCAGGTTAATAAATATATGAACAAATCACTCAACGTGACTCAAAGAATTGCATGTGAAGTCAAAAAATAAAAGATTTCACCTATCAAATTAGAAAAGAGTCAGCAGTTTGATAGCACCCAACGATGGTGAACGTGGGGGGAAATGGGCACTGTCATACTCTGTTGGCCATAAAGAAGTTGATAAAGCATCATTGGGAGACACGGCAATATCTGTCAAATTTTAAAATTCAAAGGACTTTTGAAACAGAAATAACATTTCTAGGATTTATTCCATAGATATACAAGTGCAAAAAATATATATGTACAAGAATAGTAATTACACCATAGTTTTTAATGCCCATCAATAAGCAAGTACATGCATACAGTGGAATACTTTGTAGCTGTGTAAAAAAATGGGGGGTTTCTATATATGTACTAATATGGAAAGATCTTCAAGTGAATGCAGGATCCCATTTGTTTAAAAAATACATACATACATGTATACATACACACACTATACATATATTACATATATGGTATACATATATATTTATATATAACATGTACATATATAAATGCATAATTATCTTTGAAGGATATATGTCAACTTATTAGTAAGCATTACCCCTGATGAATGGGACTGAGAATTCAAAGGTGGAAAAATGGGGAGACTTTTTAAATTCATTTTTACCTTTCCATATTATTTTAATATTTTACCAAAGATAAGTATTCTCTTATGTTAACCTAATTTGAAAACCTAGTTTAAAAATTAAGCATCTTCCAGATAGGAGTTATCTGACAGTTTCAATGATTAGCTGTCCTTTCTTTAAATAAAATAAGAAAGATAATCACCAGGGAAGATCTATCCTGAAGGACAGGGAGAGTAGAATATAGTCATCTCAAATTGTGCACCAATTTGTCTTTTAACCCCCTGTTAGTCAGTAAGTTCGATAATAGCAACAACAGCTGCAGCTCTGTACTTGGCCCCCAGGAAAGTAAATAGATGTATTCATGACTTGTCACCTCCAAACCAAACATTGTCACCTCCACAATGAGGAAGTTCCTTTGTTACTTAGTGATGTTTGACTCCATTTTGTTTCACTGCTGTCAACATTATCATCTGCCAGCAACTACAGCGCCCACTGAGAACAGAACCCCTAAATGTAGCCTTGCTAGTAAACGCTATGGAAATGTGAGCTGTTTGGAAGGCAACTGCCCTCTGGGATTGTATCTAACTTATATCAAAATACATTAGACAAAAAAGAAATGTTCAACCAATGTCCAGATATTTTTGGTCATCTGAATATTTGCTATACTGCAACCCTCTGGTTCTGGTTGAATTTTCTGGGTGTTGTTCACAGTCCCCTGCTATAGAAATCTCATTAGTGGTATGAAAAGACTAGTCCAGTGGTTCTCAAAGTGTGGTCCCCAGACAAGCAGCATCAGCATCATTAGAAACTCACATTGCTGGGCCCCATTCCAGACCTACTGTCTCAGAAACAGTGGACGTGGGCCCAGCCATCTGTGTTTTAACAAATCCTCCAAGCGATTCTGATGCCACTACAGTTGGAGGACCACTGGCCTAGGCTAACAAGGGTTTTAGGTAAGTCCTTCACAATGGTTACAGTGCTGCCCGAAGGACAGATCTATGCAGCCTTTCTTGGGTCTTTCCTATACGCTTAGAGATAAACTAATATCTTTGCAATGATTTCCTCCATGTTTATCTCTACTCTTTGTACATATTGTTTTTACATTGAGCCATATAATTTAACATTTATTGGAGGAAAAATAGAAGCCAATATTTTCTACTTGTTCCCTTCTGAAAGAAAATCATAGTATTTGTTTTCCCCCTTATCAATTTCAATGTTCTCTGTGATGCATATTAACAGTGAGACCACTCCCTTGTGTGGTCATAGGAGAGAAGAAACATGGATCCTGGGAATAATAGTAAAACCACTCCTACCTTCCATGAGTAAGATGGAGAAGTCCTTTAAGATGGTGATGGTGCTGATCAAAACCAGGATGGAAAAGACAAAGGTGCAGATAGGGTCGGCCATTTTATAGTCTGGCTAGAAAGTACAGGGACTTTGGTTAACTGACTCTGTGCCTCCTTGGTAGAAAATCTGATTAGTAAAATCAGTAAACGTGTCTGTTTCCTTCTCTCCCCATCGCCCTTTCACCCCCCTGACACTTGGCCTCCAACTCAGAGGCAACAACTTCTGAAGACTTAATCCTTCTTTAAGCTTTAAATGACCAGTAATGGAAGAAGAAAGACTACAAGACATGCTCTCCCATAATTTAAGAAGTAAAGCTGTGTTATCTTTAAAGGGAAAGATATCCTTGAGTTTTCTAAGAGGCCTGATTTAACTTCTCTGAAATTAAGAGAAGTACAGAGTGTGTGATGGACTGATTTGCACAATACCCAGTGACTTTGCAGCCTTAATTTTGATGACAGGAAAGCATGTCATCTGCTCAGAGGTTGCATATGACCAGGGTACAGCTGCAGCTTGGTCTTGGCAGACTGAGGGTAGTTGGTTTCTTCCCCCCCATATGGCACATACTCGAGGTAGCCATCTACCAGCCTAAGAGGACGAGCCAAGGCCTCATCCTTGCCTCGCCACCATTCAAGCCCTTAGCCGCCGGGTAAAACGCCTGCTATTCTTCCTCTGATGCAGTTTTGTGCCCCAGAAAAGTCTGTATCTCATTATCTCTAAGAAACTGGGCATCAACCTAACCTTTATAAGTGTACCCTCAAACTCTACTCACCCATATCAATTTGAAGTGTTTTGCCTTAAACTTAAAGCTCTCAGTGAGCATTTGCTCAACTGAATTCAGATATGTCTTTGTAATTTGCATTTACATGTTTTCATTTTTTAGCAAAAATAATGTAGAGTCCCCACTAACTGGGCAGTCATGATAAGAACAAAGATTAAGGCTTTTTTCCTCCATCACCTCCCCCCACCCCACTCTAAACCACCCCTGTTAGGTCTCAGAACTACCGAATAGAGGTCTGTAGTTTCTTAGGGTCAGAGACCCACATGGATCCACTCCCACCCTGACCATTTGGAAAGCAGTTACCTCTCCCCCATTGTGGGTAATATTGGTGGGACAGTCTCTCTCTCCCCCCACCACCCTCCCCCCACCAACCAGCAGGTTTAAGACCCAAACTAGGTCAATTAGACTCCCTTTCCCAGAAATATGAATCTTCAGCATAATGACAGGAAATGAAAATAAACTGGTTGAGTCACATTCATCTCAGCCTTGTGTCTGAGACAGGAGTTGGATAATTTATGGAGTAAGTCACCCTTATTTGTACCTTGATTTCTATCTGGGAGTACATTCAATGAATTTCAGCCTATATATATGGTCATAAAATAAAATATTTATTTACTTACTTACTTATTTACTTAAGTGAGTTAGAGATCGTTTCTGTTGCTTACAATCCAAGATCCCTAATGCATTCATGGTCCCACTGTGGTCCATATTGACCCCATGACAAAGGGAACTACTTTCTTGAACAAATAGAAGCCCTATAGTTAAAAAAAATAACCCTTAGGAATTTGGGAAGTCTCAGGTTTCAAGCTTTGAATGTATGCCTGTTTGAAAACTTGCAGAGTAGTTTTGTTTAGGCAAACATCATCTGTCTACCTTTGTTTAAATTAATATTGGAGGATCCACTTCTATACGATTGATCTATAAAATAACTAGGACTGTGGGTGAAATCAAACATACTCACCTTAAAATAGATAATAAGTGCACTGGTTAACACACTGATGCTCTGAAATAGATCTCCAAGGGCATGCACAAAGGCTGCTCTGACGCTGGCGTTAGCTTGCTCTTCCTTGTGATTGTGACCAGGACGTCTCTGGTGCAAGATCACACTTAGTCTGAATGAGAGAACAGCATTCTTAGCACACATGAGATTAACCCTTAAAAACCTACACAATGTATGGAAGAGTTAGCATATGTTATCCAAATTGGCAGATAATTGAAACAGTAATATTTTAAGATACAGTATTTTGGAATAATTTAGATTGCAAGTGGATCATAGCATTTACAATCTTTCACACAAGGACAGACAATGAAGATCTGCCTTAGTTTTTCCTTTCCATCCACCTGATTCCAATGTTTCACATTAAACCAGGAAATCATCACTTCTTAGATGAAAGCCAAGTGTTTGATGATGAGGAGGGAAAATTTCATTTATTAATGATCTACCACATGTCAGGCACTGAGCTAGGCTTAAAGCTGAGTTTTGGTGTAACTTAATTAAATGTGTTGGTGTCAAATGCAAAAAGCAACAGAAAAGGATAAAACAAAATAAGTAGTGAATTTCATCGGGGCTGGATTTTTTAAATCTTTTACTTAATTTTGTTCATTTAGATGAGAATTTGAAAGTTGAATAATTTTCCAATGGCCAATGATGAATATACTGTGCTCATGTATAAGTAGCTATTTATCCAGAGACTAAAATATATTAAAATATTATAAATGTATATGTAGATATAGATATAGATAGACATATATGCTATTTTACAAAATTTAACATTTCCTATTCCAATCAGAGGTAAGTGGTAGCCATTATAAATTATGTGCCTGATTCTATTTATCTACAGCTTCAAGAAGTATTAGACCAAAGGTAAAATGAGAACTTTTTTGCTGATGGCCAACAAGGATTGTTTTGCCTAGAAAATTTTTCTGTACATTTTGTTACAAAGGTTTTAAAAATCATGTTTCAGTACCTTGCACCTCTATGTTCAGTCAAGTGTCTACTAAGTCTCAGGCCGTCATCACAAAGTGAACTGACCGCACTCCACCAACATTTATTAATAACGTACGCTTTTTAGATTGTCAGTGTTTGGACAGAAATCTACCCCCAGTGAGGAGTTACCATTTAAGGTTCTTCAGTCTGCTACAGCTGGCAGTTACTAGATGCTCTTTCTAGGTCTGCCATGTGTGCTTATCACATTGTCATTCATTCTTAATTCATTTTATTTGAAAAACAGAAAATTGTACAGAGCCATGTATGCCAGGCACTGTTAAATGTCTGGGGCATAAAAGTGAGTGATAACAGACATGATCCTTCCCCATTGCGGCTTTAAGTATGAAAGAAACAAAGAGAACTTAAAAAGACGCATGTACATGGAAATTTCTAATTATAATAAGTGCGCTCAGAACTGCTGCTACAGAAAGTCAAACAAGGGAATCCGATGTAGTTAGCAAGACAAAACAATTGAGTTGCAATTGAAAGGTTAGAGTTCAAGAGGCTGAGAGAGGAGGGAATGTTTCTGGAAGAGAAAATTTAGCATGCAATAGCCTTAAGCCTCTGCCAATTATTTGCATCCTAGAATCCCTTTGCAGTCTGTATTACAAGTTTCTGTCCTGATTTTGCATCCCCAGGGAATAAATTTATTCCGAAATTATGGCTCAGATACCTCTATTCAGACAACACAGCCTCTAGCTGCACTGGAAACTTGTAATCCCAGTTCTGGGAGGAAATATTAGAGTTACTCAGTATCCTTATCCATGAATAACTACCTGATTGCACAGGGAAGTCAACGCTTTTCAATTCCCTCATCTTTCTTAACACCTGAAAATTAAGGTCAAAGTTCAAAAACAGTTTCAGTAAAAGAAAATGTAAATGGTGTATGTTTAGAAAGTCAAACTCAATCACTGAGGGTCCCGATTTATGGGGTCAGTAGCTAGGGATAGCTTTCATCTTCGAGTAGCATTGACTCTACTTAAATGACATATGAATCAGGGAGTTATAATATCTTTATCCTTCCTGCTGCCTTGTAGACATATGGTTCTCTTATGCAAAGATGATGTCATTGACCCCCAGTCAGGAGGACATGTGCTCTGCCTTGTCACCTAATGGTAACAGATTTGCACTGATATCCCCAGTGCCAATGTGAAACACATTTTCAATGTAACTGGAGGGAAACAGGTCTAATCATTGATGGCAAGTGAACTACCACTCTTCTAGTTGTTTAGCGCAGGGATTTTGAGCCATGGTTTGCAAACTAAGAGGTGAGGAGCAGAGGCAGGCACAAGGTAAGGGTATCAGAGTGACCTGAGGAGCTTTTTTGAACTGTGTGTGCTCAGGTTTCTCTCCAGTCTTAGAGATTCCACTGCACCCTCTTTTCTAAAATCATTGTTTAAGAAGCCATTTAGCTATCACTGTCTTCTTCACTTTCACATATAAATCTACTGCATAGCATGTGCTGCGTTGCATTGCAAGATAGACAAATAGATGATGCATAGATAGTGTATGAGTTTCCAAGTACTGCTATAACAAATTGCAACAAGCTTTACTAGCTGAGAGCAAGATAATTTTATTATCTTATAGTTCTGGTGGTCAAATCTAAAATGTATGTGCAGGACTGCATTTCTTCTGCAGGTTCTAGGAGAAAACATGTTTTCTTACCCTTTCCAGCTTCTAGGTGTCACTTACATTCCTTGACTCCAGGTCCTTTCCTCCATCTTCAAAGCCAGAAGTACAGCACCTTTCCTCCTTTCTGACCTTATATTTCCCTTTTATAAGGACCTTTGTGGTTACACTGGGACTATTTGAATGATCCAGGATAATTTCCCCATGTCAAGATTCAGTCTATATCACATTTTAGAAATTCCTTTTATCATGTAGGTTAACATATTTAGAAGTGCCCAGTAGTAGAATGCAGAAATTTTTGAGTGGCCATTCTTCTCTCTGCCACAGACGATAGGTAGTTAGACAGACAGACAGGCAGATATAGTTTTGAATAGGGTCGCCCAGAATCAGGGCAACCCTATTTAAATGGGAAGGAGCAAACTGACCAAAAGGATCAAAGCCCTGGCCTTAAAACCCCATTGTCGTGAGCAATCAAGTAGTTCATTTGGGGAAGAGCAGACAAATATGGCAATGATCACATATCCCATAAGAATGATTTAAGACTACCTGGTTAAGAGAATGGACCACCAGCTGGAAAATAGAGAGGTTAGCTAACAGAGCTAAAGGAAGAATTTTCATGTAGTCAAAATAATGCAAAGATAAGAGAGAGCACTTTTGAGAGAAATAAATTTTGTTATTAGTTCTGCTAAAATATATGAAACTAATGACCATTTATAGGGATGTTGCAAAAGAGAATTCAAAAGTAGAAACTGGGCTAAAGTAAATAAAAGGTAAGATCCCTTCCAACCCAGCTCTCTGGGAATGCATAATATGCTCCTGTAATAAAAACCGAATAGGAGTAAGTCACACCCCATATGGAACCATCAATGTGCATGAGAGACAGAACAGCTGGGACCCGATTCTGAGTGTTGTGGGTCTCGATTCAAATCCTGGCCCAATACCACCTCCTTGGCAATTTATTTAACTTCACTGAGCTTCAGTTTTCTAATCTGTCAAGTACGGATGTGGTGAACATTGAGCTATGTGACAGTCCCTGACACATAGGAAGCATTCTAAATGGTAGCTCTTAGAAGCCTCTATCAAAGCTCTTAAACTAGCACAGTCCACCTTCCTTTCCATCATAGAGACATTTGAACACTCTGTGAGGTCTCCACCATCCTCACCAGTGGAGGAACTAAACAAAAACAAAAAATAACAACAACAACAAACACACATCTAGGTCCAGAGAGAATTAAAGGCTGGAAGACTGGCTTCACAGGCAGTGTGTGTGGTGAGGGGGGTGCGGTGGGAGGGGACTTACATGACATTGGCTGCCACTGCACAGCCCGAAACGATGATCATCACGGTTGCCTGGATCTGGTAATCCGGGTACAGGAGGCGCTCACATGCCAGGTACACCAGCACACCAGTCACTGCCCAGACACACAGGACGGAGAGCAGGGCACCGAGGATCTCTAAGGATGTAAGCACACAGACATCCACACACAAACAATTTATGAATCACATTAACATCCCCAAGAGTCATAAGGCATTCATGTTCCCCCTCCCACCAAAAGAGGTGTCAAACCAGTTCACTCCGACTCACAAAGCAAAAGTTTGGAAGGATTTTAGCACCAAGATGGAGTAGTTTCATGTCAAGAAGGAGTAGTTCATTTATAAAACACCAGCATCTGAGTTCATTACATTCCACATTACTCAGTAATTCGCAGCATATTCTTAAAGCACATTAATTGCTGCCTAAACACACTGTTTTCCTTGGGATTTTAGTTTAAGCAGGTGCTAAAATGATTGAAACTTATTAGGGAATGAAATAATGCGACACAAAGACTGAAAGGTATTTAGAAACTTAATTTTGCCATAAAATGTTTATAATATGCCAGCACCAGTATCTTCTGTGGATTAAAATAGTAAAAAGGGAAGCCTTCAGAGGGTACTTGAAAAATGAGTTTCATTTGCCAACCCAACATACCATAAACACAGTAGTAAGCCCAGAGGTATATCAACATTCTTACTGCCTCTTAAGAGCAGCAAGGAAAAACAACATCAGAATGAAGACATTTACATTAATACTTAAGGACAAGATAGTGTTCAATCTACCCACTGAGTAAAGGGCATTTGCTCTCTTAGGAGTTCCTTAACGCCTCACCCCAATCTGTAACTTAACCTTGTAGATGGACTCTAAAAGCCCACGAGGGTCTAGAAACAACCTATGAGTCAGTGGTCAAGCACATTCCATAATTCTGACCTCCTCTCTTTAAAGCAGGACACTATAACATGTTTCCCATTGTGGGACATATTCTCTAAACTTTAGTCACTTACATACAGTTGTCATGATTTTTGCCATGTCCACTTGCCTCATTAGATACTTAATATTCTCCTTAAATAAATTCATTTCTTATTCTTAGCTTCTTCCTGAACAAAGTTATCCATGAAATTACATGTTTGATGTTCTAGTTGATTTCCACCTCTGTGTACTGGAAATCAATCACCCATGTCTGTTTAAACTGAAATTCAGTAAAAGTAAAAATCCAGTTCTTCAGTAGAACCAGCCACATAGTAAAGTGTTCTATGGCCACATGATGTTCTATATTATAGAACATCTCCCCTGAAGCAGAGTTCTGTTGAGCAGCCCTGGTCTTCTGGCATGTCTGCGAACTTCCATGACCAGGACGAGAAAAACAGCATTTGAAATTCTGAGCCCTCCCTATGTTTACAAAACATCCTATGTTACAAAACAGCTCTGGCCAATCATATCAGAAAAGGTTAAGTGCAAGTAATAATTCAGACAGACAAATGATCGATGCTCAGCTAAGAGTACATTGTTTTCCAAGAATAGCTCTGTTGAGGGACTGAGAAAGCATCTCTGGATCACATTGTCCCAAACTCTTTTTATCTGTGTTTATTGCCTTCTCTCTCACTGATTGAAACTAGAACTTCCTTTTGTTCTAAGCTTGCAAAAGCCCAGTCCACAGCTGCCGGCCTGTGGTCTGTGTGTGGCGGCACCTGTCCACAAAGCCTGGCCGTGTCAGTGTGTTGCCCACCCCTGCTCCACTACCAGTTCTCCCTCACTTCCTATTCTTGCTCTCCTGTGAGATGTTCTTCCATCTCTGCAGCTCTTTTTTTTTTTTTTTTTCTGTCTGTGCCTACTTTGCAAAATGGTAGCAGCTTCACCCCTATCCTCTCCTCGAGATGCAGAGTAACTTAATGAATCACATCATGGCTGTCACCACACATGAGACCCTGAGGCTGGGATGGTTGCCAGAGTGGTCCATGTGTTCCTGTTGTCCCATTGGAGTAGACATAGCCAGATTAATCTGGCTTTTAGCTGAATTAACACTGACAACACATGTTCCCATATACATGTCTATTATATCCTGTGCACCAGAGTTGTGCCTCTGAGGGATTTTCAAACAAGGCTTTGCTTTGTCCCTGTTATTTTCATCCTTGGTTTGACCCTGAGGCACTACACTCCCATGAATTCTCTATCAGTGAACTGTACCTGCTCGGTGCCACCCAAATGTCAGCCGCTTGGAGGGAGGTTTTGAAGACAACCACAAGGAGAAGAGGCTGAGCAGGAAACTGGTCAGGTCAATTAAGAGGTGGGCAGCATCTGTGACGACAGCAAGACTCCCAGCAATGTGGCCCCCTAAGAGGTGCAGGATACCACACGTGTTAGGACCCCAGACTGCAACTATATTCATATGCATACTTACCAGAGTTGGTGAAAATGCCACAGACTCACAGAGCCTTAGAAGAGAAGATCCACCTCATCTTCCCGATTTGACAAGTAAAGAAACTGAGACCCAGAGAGTGGGTAGGATCTAAGCATGCAGAAATGAACTTCGAGGGCAAGGCCTTTCCTAGGGGAGTACAGGCACAGAGATTGGAAAGTGTGGGCATTTGGGGGGACTGTCCCTGTTAGACTGGGGCATAAGGATTCAGAAAGGGCAATGCAGAAAGATGAGGCTGGAGGTCTACAGGCCACATTCAAAGGTTCTCACACTCCAAAGTGAGCACCCAGACTTTTGTCTGTAAACCAGATGACACAATGGCCCACTGATGTGTTTTTATTTATTTTTTTGAATTGTAATTTTACCACAGTCCTTACCACTTCTTTCTTTTCTACTAATTTGCATAGTCTACCTGAGTTCAAGACCCCTGTTGTGAATAGTGGCGGACAGTAAGAAGAAGGGCAAGCACCTTCCAATGGGATTCCTCAACACAACCACCCAGTAAAGCACAGGAAGAGAACTCAAGCCTTGAAATCCTTTTGAATGGCTCTTCTCTCCTTGTCCTCCAGTTCCCTTTTGAGAAAATACCTCCAGCCTCTAAAATTGAAGTCAAAGGAAAACTTTGTCTCTTCCTTCCAAAACAGGGCTTGTTGTTTGAGAGCAATAACCTTTATTACTCTAGTTGCATCTTCCCAGCAACGAGCTTTGCTGACTGATAGTCCTCTCCGCAGCTGTTTATTGCTTTCTGTACTAAAAAGCAATGGAGGCTGTCAGTCATTGGCCCCTCCATCATCAGACTCACCATGTCAACTAATGATTATAAAAAATTACATATATGGCTCATAATTGCGGTAATCCCCTCAGACTGCCGACTCTAGCTGCAGTTAATAACTGGTTTGTCAAAGTTTAATGGTCTGAAGCAAAGTAGTCTTCAAGCTTGTTACTGAGCTGTCAGTGCAAAAATCACAATGATTCATTGGCCAAAAAGCAACATTTTGCTAACAAATCAGCTGTCCTTCCAATTATCCTCTAATGTTGCTCTCTCTGCCAAACCAGGGCCTGATAATGAAGCTGTGTTAATAATGCATTATTTCTTGCCCAGGAAATGACTACACACAGATAAGCAGCATGCCACCATCTCAGCAATGAATGATGGTGGTGGTTCCATGAGCTGAGCTGAAATCATAGCCTAAGTCAAGGAAATGGAGTCTCGCAGAGTTTCTTCAACAGGCTCAGCTGAGTCAGGAAGCAACTGAGAAAGAAAAAGCACCTTGCTTTGGAAGAAGCATGTAAATATGAAGGTCCAAGAACCAAGAACCATTTTTCAACTATCAGAATTACTTTTAAGAACCATCCAAAAAAATTGAGCAATTATGCTGAGTGACTATGGAGCAAAGTTTTTGCAAGAGGCAGTTGCAACTGAACTTGCATTTGCTTCTGAATGCATGGGGTACTACTAACAATTCAGTCATGCATCCGTATTTATTGAGCCCTTACTGTGCATGTTAGAGGGACAGGACATACAAAGATAAAGTTAAAAAAATCACAGTCCCTCTCTTCTGTGATCTCACTGTCTAACACTCACTGCCCTGAAGATATGCTTGACGGGCCAGAAGAATAGAAAACCACCCTCACTGGGAGCACTGAGGAACTTTTCACAGGAGAGAGGGGTAAGAATTAGCTAGAAGAGAAGGGTTTGTTGGGAAGAAATAAGAGTGGGAACGAGAACAGAGAGAAATGAAAGAACATGGAACCTTTGCGGACAAGCAGGGGGAGTGGAGTGTTGGGGGAATAATGGAAAGACTGAAAAGGTGAGTTGGGGACCCTGGTGTGGGATAATATATGTCATGCTAAGGAATGGTAATGTTATCCTATGAGATAAGGGGATCAACTTATGAGGTGGAGGCAAGGTTGTGAAATGTTCAGATTTGTATTTAAGAGAGCGATCTTTGCCAGAAATATGGAGACTGACTTGGAGGCAGAAGAAGCTAGCAGTTAACACACAATGGTAATAGCCAAAGGAAATGATTATGAAGGCATGAAGTAAGGTGGCAGCACTCAACGTTCTGGATTATTTGGCAAGATGTAGCAAGCAATGCACATACAACAAGGTAGGGAAGGCCCTAAGGGCTACATTCTGGACATAGACCCTCCTTAGGGTCGTGGGGTGGAGACCACAGTAGGAGATCAGGAGAGCCCTTAGGCCTGGGTCTCATATTCACCTCTGATGCAGAGAGCTGGTGTTAAGTCCCCACGATGTTTGCTGTGGAGAACAGAGATATGCTGAGAGCACTGAAAGAAGTAAATGCTTCTCTGACAACATTAGCCTTGTTTCCCATTCCTGGACTACACCCTGGTGTGCCATTCATCCATATTTTTAAAAGTCTTTAATAGCATTATTATCTTATGTAGCTTGTTGTGGCAAAAACTCATAGAATTATCATATAACAAGTATTCAGAACATACCACCGTTTGCATAGGCATGTTTTGACAGTTCTTAAATTTTTAATACCAGGAACACAAAGAAATCTAAGTGGGGTAAGCTGCTGAGACACCTTGGCTCTGGTAGAAAGTAAGATCACTTATCAACTAAGCTTGTGGCTATCACCCCACCCAACTGTATCTTTTTCTTACTAAGAGAGTTTTTTCACTCTGAGGTGCTCACCATCTTCTCCCGCCTGCATCCAGCTCTCTGTTTCTTTCTAGCAATATGATGCTTCCTCCATCCTTGCTTAACTCTCAACAATCCTGCTTCAGGAGAGTGGCCTTTCCTGACTGTTCTCAATTTCTTCCAGCAATGGCCATAGCTGAGCTTATTTTTGTGAGTTCTCCATGTCTGTATGTCTGTCTTTTCAAACTGGGATACATGTTTATGTCTTCACTGTAACTCCTCTCTTTATGGCCTTTCTACAATGAGGAATTTTTCACAAGCAATCAGAGAGAGCCCCAATTCAACAGATTCAAAGCCCATTAATAGAGGACACATTGACACAACCTTCTTTAATTCCTTTCTCCCATCTGCTCTGAGAGCTGAGGCCAGTTCTCTCTCTAAACACAGGTCTGTGCCCTGTTATCCTCTGTCCAAATGTCACTTATGCCTCAGGACTTCAGAATGAGTCCGATTCCCCAGTCAGGCCTCATGGCCCTTGAACTCCCAACAACCATCCTAGTTTTATTCTCCACTAACTGTGCTTTACTCTACACCACTCCCTCAGATCAGTCCTGTCATTTGTAAGTCAATACTGCTTAACTCAAGCTAGCTTAAACAGTAACAATAACAAAATGATAGTTCATTAACTCAAACAACTGAGACCAAACCTGGGTGGGATAGGATTGGGTGCAGTCTAAAGTAAGGTTCTAAAAATGTTGTTTGGACTCTACTATAATAGCTCCAACTATTGCTATTTCTTGTTCCACTGAAGACAGACTTCCTCCTTGTCAGCAAGAAAAGAGGGCCGCTGGAAGCTCCAGGCTCTGGTCATTTCAGGATAGCATTTGTAAACAGAGGAAGCCTTTTCCCTAGCCTCCCTGTATAAATACCCAGAGACTGATTAATCCAGTCTGGCTTCTCGTACACAGCCTTGTCTAGGAGTGTGAGGTACGTCAGCCAGGAGGATCAGAGCTGCAACCAGTGCAACCAGCATGAGAAAACTTGCTCACCAGTCCACTACCAACAGTGGCACCAAAATGTGGCTACATATCAGACTCACTTGAATTGCTTCCTAGGAATACATATCTCCTGTCCTGTTGCAGACCCACCCACTCAGTCTCTCCAGGCAAGACGGATATTTACTACCTCTTGGACCACAGCAATAATCAGACGCTGCTCATTCAGGCCCTTCCCTCTGAAAGGCCCTTCTCATCTCCCTCGTAACCACCTCACAATTTCTACCCATCCCTCCAGGCTTTGCTCAAATCCCATATGCTGCAGGAGTGATCAGAGAATAATAATTGCTTTCTCTGACATGGTCAAAATGACTTTCGGGGGGAGGTGAGCTGTAGATTGTGCTCTTGCATCATGTCCAGGGTTTTGATGAGTGTGGGGAATGAGGAGAGGGATTTTTCATTCAAATAAAAAAAGGCATAAACCAAAGCTATGAAAACATTCAGGTACAACAATTATTTTGCATTCAATGAAAAAACAGCTGAAACAGAAGAGCTGGGTAGGAAAGTGGTTAAAGAAGAAACTAATAGTTTTGCAGCCAGGTGATAGAACAACTTGAAAGTCAAAGTAAGAATTTTTTATTTTGTCCAGGATACTAGAGCTTTCAATATATTGATTCTTGTTCCCCTGGGGTAGCCCATGGGCCCCGCCTCTTCTTGCCACAAGCATCCCGGCCAGTGCACCCCAGGGCTCAGGAACGTTTCCTATATCATCATGTTGGGGAACAAGTTGTGAAGGGCTGACCTAGGCGGAGGGGAGCCATGGAGAATTTTGAAGACAGAATTAACATGATGAGAGCAATGTTTTAGGAAGATTCACTCAAAATCAATACAGCTCCAATTCCAAATGGCTGTCTGTTGGTATCCATTTAATTCCTTTAATGACAACATCCCTTTCCTCTGACTCTAAAAGTCAGACCAGAACTCACAGGCTAATTATCAGGAATGAGAAGGAAAGGAGGAGACTGATTTGCTCAACCCAAGTGAATAACTTCCCATTTTACCCCTTGAAAATACAAGTCATTTAAAAAGCAAAGCGACAGAGAATTAAGAAAGGGTACAAGGAGAAAAGTGAGTTTTGTGAATGGAAGACCATGGCATTTCAAACTATTGCTTAGACATCAGCTGGGCAGAAGATGCCATTGATTCTCAGCATCCGTATGGATTCAGGGAAAAGCAGAGGAAGAACACAGTGGAGGAAACACACCAGTTTCTACTTCCTCCTGAGCTGTGTTTGCATGCAGTGGTGCCA